ACTTGGAAATCCTTCCGGAGAGTTCCGCTTTCCTCAAGATCGCTTTCAAGGGCTGATCGGTAAGGACAGTGATTGGGTGCGCCTGGAAATAATGCCGCAGTTTCCTTGCAGTGGTGACCAGGGATAGAGCCAGTTTCTCTAGGGGTAGATATCTTGTCTCTGCGTCCAGGAGCGCCTTGCTTATATAATAAATCGGCTTCTGGCGGTGCTCATGCTCACGGATAAGTACCCCGCTTACCGCAAACTCAGATACTGCCAGGTACAAGAACAGCATCTCCCCCTGGATGGGGACGGATAAGGTTGGAAGAGTCCTTAGGTATTCCTTGATTCCAGCCAGGGCGTCCTCGCACCCCCGGCTCCACATATTCTTCCCAGCACTCTTGATTGCTCCGAAAAAGGGTTTGCATTTGTCCGAGGAGCGTGAGACGAAACGGTTAAGTGCAGCCAGCATCCCTGTGAGTTTCTGGACTTCTCGGACAGTGCGGGGGCTCCGGATGTCCAGGATCGCTTGAATCTGATCTGGGTTGGCTTCGATTCCTCGTTGACTAACCAGGTATCCGAGGAATTTACCTGATTCCACTCCGAAAACGCACTTTGCCGCATTCAGCTTCAGCCCATACTCCCTGAGGGTGGAGAAGGTATCCGCCAAATCTGTCAGATGATCACAACTCCGTTTGCTCTTTACCAGCATATCGTCTATGTAGACCTCCATGGTGTTGCCGATCTGCTTTTTGAACATCCGATTCATCAGTCTTTGGTATGTTGCCCCGGCGTTCTTTAGTCCAAACGGCATCACTTTGTAACAGTAAACTCCCTTCGGAGTGATAAACGCCGTCTTTTCCTGATCCGGGGGATAGAGAGGGATCTGATGATATCCTGCTCGGGCATCCAGGAAGTCCATTCGTTCATATCCGGCAGTGGCATCTACCAGCTGGTCCACCTTTGGCAGGGGGTAGTCGTCCTTGGGACATGCCTTGTTTAGATCTGTAAAGTCTACGCAGACACGCCATTTCCCCCTTTCTTCTTTGCGCACACCGTATTAGACAGCCATTCTGGGAACTGTATCTCTCGAATGGCGTCGGCCTTCAGGAGTTTGTCGATTTCCTCGTTGACCGCGCTGGTGTGATGCGGGGCCATGCGTCGTGGCCTCTGTTTGACTGGCTTGTGCGACGGGTCAACATGCAGCCTGTGTGTGATTATCTCGGGGTCTACCCCCGTCATTTCCATTTCGTTCCATGCGAACACGTCTGTATTTCCCCTTAGGAACTCGATCATCTCCTCCTGTTCGGCTGTGGGCATCGAGGTCCCAACTAAGAAATACCTCTCTTCTTCTCCCTCCACCAAGGGCACCTTCCGGAGGTCTTCTACCGACCGCTCAGTTGGGTCTATCCGGGGGTCATCCATTCCTGGACGCCCGGACTGTGATTGCTATTTTTCCATAATCTCTTCCGGTGCTCGCCCCTTCTCCTGGCTGAACGCCCCGGCTCGAACGGCTGAATAAAAACAATTTTTCGCGGACGCTTGGTCCCCCCGGATCTCCATGATACCTTCTGGCGTGGCGAATTTTAATTTCTGGTGGAAAGTGGAGTGCACCGCTCCCAACGCATGCAGCCATGTTCGCCCCATAATCACGTTGTAGGGAGAGTCCGTATCGATCACGACAAACTCGGTGTCGATGACAAAGGGACCTGTGACAACTGGCAATGTGATTTTCCCCACGGGCAGGGCGAACGAGCCGTTGAATCCGATGAGGGGTGTCCTGACTTTGGTGAGGTCTTTGGGGCCAAGACCCATCCGTTTTAAAGTTTCGGAGTACATCACCTCCGAGGAACTTCCAGAGTCTATCAAAATCCTTTTGACATCGAATTTTCCTATCCTCAGGGTCAAGACAAGGGCGTCGTTATGAGGAGTCACTACGCCTGTCAAATCCGCGTCGGAGAATGTAATGCCAAGCTCACCCGTCCTGGCCCTTTTACTTGGTGGCCCTACATCAACCTCGGCTACCTTCCTCGTAAAAGCTACCCTTTTGAGGTCGGACTCGAGTTCCTTGGACGTGGGGCGATCCAGGGGACATATATGGATGACATCTATGATGTTGTCCGGCTCCTCGGTCGGGGCAAGGGCTTGTCTCTCTTCTGGCCTGGGCTCTATGTACTCTTTCAAATATCCGTCTCGGACCAATCTTTCCAAGAACGATTTGAACACCCTGCAGCTTTCGGTGCGATGCCCGAAATCCCGGTGATAGGAACACCTAACCTTTTGATCACGGGTGGAGGGGTCGCTCTGCATCCTGGGCGGCCATTTGAAGAACGGCTCGTGCTTGATTTTATGGAGCAACTTGAAGATGGGTTCCTTGAACACAGTGTGAACTCCTTTGGACGAACCCCCTGGAGGGGGTAGCAATCCCTTTCGGGGAATATCTTCCCGCTCCTTCTCTTTTCTCTTAGATTGGAGGGCTCGGCCTTTGCTGCTTCCCATCTCGTCCTCAATCCTCGAGTATTTGTTTATCCGGGCCATTAGTTCCCCCATATCCGAGGGGGTCTTCTTGGTCAGGGATCGGTACAGGTCCGTGTCCCTTGCCAAGCCGAGCCGGAAAGATGCTGCTGCCATGACCTCCGAGCAGCCTTCTACCTCATTAACCTCTTCCCAGTATCGGATGGCGTACTGGCGAAGAGTCTCGGATTCCCTCCGTCTGAGGGTCAGCAATGATCCAATGTCTTTGGGGCGCTTACTCCCCGTAATGAATCGAGCCAGGAACTGCTTAGTCAATTCCTTCCAGGACCCAATACTGTTGGGGGGAAGCGCCTCGAACCACTTCATCGCAGAGTCCCCCAAGCTCATAGGAAACACTCGGCAGAGAAACCGTTGGTCCGAATGATAGAGGGACATCATCTGCTTGTATTGCCTGACATGGGCTTCGGGATCGGACCGCCCGTCATAAGTTTTGAACCGCGGCACGACAAACTTTCTTGAAACCTCCATCTCACCGATCTCCCTCGTAAAGGGTGTTTGTATGACTTCGTCCTCGGCCTCATCCTGGACAGCCTTACCCTTTCTCCTGGAGTCTAACCGGGCTCTGAGATCAATTTCTTCCCTGACGGGATGCCTTCTGAAGTCCTTGAGTTCATCGGTAAGCCCCTCATTTCCTGGGCGTCGTGTGGATTGGGTTGAGTCCTCCTCGGATTCATCTCCCTTCCTCCGTCTAGACAAACCTCGCCGGAGGTCGTCCAGGGCCAATGGCCTTGCTTTCCTTGAATGGTTGTCATGATGATGCTCGCCGGCTCTGGGTCGCTTTGGGGCCCTAGAGCTTTCTGCTTTGTTGTTTAGGTGGTTTCTTAGATCCTTCGTTTCCGCCTCCCGGGCGGGAAGCCCACGAGAAAGGAATGAATCCCTCGACCCTTCGCCAGAGGCGGCAAACTCGTTGAGCCGGCTTAGGACGTTTACATTGTCCTTTTCCAGCTGTCGTAATCTATCGCCAAACTTTTCTTCAATCACCTCCGCCAGCTGACGAGCCAAGGGGGCTGATCCCCCTGACCTGATTCCCATACTGGTTTGAGGGGTAACCCCTCTTGACCGAGTAGAGGCACTTTTATTCATATTGGTGTGATCCCTCCCTCCGTGATGACAGGGAGCTTGTAACTCGAGACTCCTTTGGTGGGGTCCTTTCCTTTCTGTCGAGTGTTCACCATGGTCACTGTTCTTTATAGAGAAAAAACTAGGAAAACTAGTCGTTTCCCACAGACGGCGCCAGATTGTGCGTGCAAGATCCTGCACAATATAAAAAACGAGAACAGATCTCTCCCTTGGTGAACTCGAGTGAGCCAGTTGAGTGACCAACCACGCTGCTTGGAACAGCCTGCGAGGTCCGGTGGTAACCTGGAACGGCAACGGGAGACCCTGGGGGAGCGGAAGAACGATCCAGTAAGGCTGAAAGGGGTTCCTGGAACAAAGAAGAACAAGTTAGAAGGGCGCCGGAGTGTTTTCCGGCGTATCCCCTCCGACGATCTAGTCAGTCTTTGAGAAAGAGAGAGGAAGGAGAAAACACTGAGTGTGTATTGTAGTAAAGAGTTTTTTTTTGCATACCGGTCTTGCCTTTTGCAAGGAGTATTTATACCTCAAAAGCTCATGATTGCTGTCAGTGTAGTCAGTAGGTGATCATTAGGTACAGGCAGTGTGCGCACTGATTCTGATGAGGAATGTCTTCTCTTCTTAACTGCTCGGGGTCCCGAGCAATCAATGCTGGGTCATCGGGATGCCGACGGTACAATGTACTCCTCTCGGGGAGGATGCAATAAATGCTCTGTATTAGGAGCATTTATTGCCTTTCATTTTCGAGCCTTACCGCATTGAATGCGGTCTCATCAAGGGAATGGTGTAATTAATCGTTTGCTTTCCCAAGTCGCGTGTCAGCAACGGCATGCGGTTTCTCTGTCTTCGATGTGATATCATATGCCACGCGTCCATCCCCCATTGGCTGTGGCCCCTGCATTCCAGTACGTTCTGACACTAATTGTGTAAGACGAGGTCATGATGAATAGCCTAGACTAGCCTAGGCTAGTGACCTGTACGTCAATAGCTTATCCTGGAGTAGAGGAAGCGTCCAGGACGGGGTACCTCTCGGCATCGAGGAAAGGCTCATCTCGGAACCGAGGGAGGTATACCGACCGAGGTACCATATCAGACCGAGGCTACGTGTTGGTTGTAACTTGTACTGAATGCCATGATCCTATATGACGAGTACCTCGAGGGCGAGGACCTTTATGCGCCGATGGTGCTTGATCTTAGCAACAGTGTTTTGGTAAATACCGAGGACACGTGTCTTCATCATGGAGTATTTCAGAAAAGTCCCATCAGTTCTTTTTCCAAGCTTGATTGCTGCCTAGTCAATTCCCTAGAGCTTGCATTGCTTGACAGGAGAAATATATGGATGAAGGGGAGCCTACTCCACCGGAATTTGAAGATCCGACGCTTGATCACTAACACGTGTGTTAGGTGATAAGATGAATCTTGGAGCAATGCAAGTTATGTTCAAAATGAGGGATCATAAGGGAGCTTACATCCAAGTAAAGGCAGTGGACGATTACAGGTTCTTGAATTCTTCATACGTTCCCGTGCTCCGACAGCTTGAGTCCGTGACTTTACAGAAGTTTTACTTTGAGAATAAGCTCGAGAATGCCACGAAGGACACAACAAATATGAAATTTAGGAACCCTTAATTTTGGATGATGATATCGTTGTTCAGAAGGATTTGACGGCGCTTTGGGAGATAGACATGGATGGGAAGGTGAATGGAGCTGTTGAAACATGTTTTGGGTCTTTCTATCGGTCTGCACAGTGCATTAATTTTTCTCACCTTTCGATAAAAAACACTTTTCATCCCAATGCTTGCGCGTGAGCTTATGGGGTGTACTTCTTTGACTTGGATGATTGGAGGAGGGAGAATTGTACTGAAGAGTACCACTACTGGCAGAATCTGGTAAGATTATATTTATGTCTAAATTACTTCTGAAATTTTCCCATGTTTAGTTTTATTGTTTCATTCACAACCCTAAACCCAAATAAGTTAATTAAGCCGCCTAAGGTGATTCCTGTATCTATGGTTTGTTTGCTTGTAACTAAGCCTTTAATTGCAAATGTGATGATCTTATTGAAACAACATCATGTTATGTTTGTTGCACTTCATGCACCAAAGCTTCAAGCTTCTTATTGATGATTTTCATAATTATTTGTGTATTTGTTCTTTTATGCGATACAAATTTTCTTGTTATTGGTTTCTTCTTCACTGTCGTTTTTTTTCTTTCTAATTAAAGATGCTTGGGCGTATCTGGTGCATTAGGCTCCCACCATCTGGGAAGGGTTAGATGCTTATGTTTTTGTAGAATGAAAACTGAACCTTGTGGAAATTGAGAACATTTCCCCCATGCCTGATTACATATTACTCTACAACCAAGCCATTAGACAAGTCTTGGCTTGTTTTGGGTCTCAGCTATAATCCAAGCATAAACATGGATGAGATTGGCAATGTTGCAGTTGTGCACTTCAACAGAAATATGAAACCATGGCTTGACACTGCCATGAACCAGTTTCGACCCATTTGGACGAAGTATGTGGACTCTGAGAATGACTTTGTCGAGGCTTGCAATTTTGGTCTCCAAGTAAAAATGTGATAGTTGAAGCCCATGCTTGAAGGATCTACCAAGCCCATGCTTGTTCTTATCTGATGTCCTAGAAATTCCTGTTTATCCTAGCATATCATTCTCTTGGCTATAGCAGTTAGAATTGTGCTAGTGATTTGTTCATATGGCTTTACGATTAAACTTTCTTGGTTAAATGTTTTACAACCTAGAACATTGTTGGATTTTAAGAACTTTCCTATTTGTATGTGCATATGGTGGTAATCATCATCACTCATTATATTACATATTTAATTCTTGGGATTATAATATTCGTTTCTTTGCTCCTAAATTTTGATGATAACTGAACTTCTAGCCTGATTGTGTGCGGTTTTGGAATATTAGCCACTATATTACCTCTGAAATTGATCCTCATACGTTTTCTAGGAAAAATTGAGCAAAACTTTCTGTATGGAATACTTTCTGTATGGAATACAGTTTATTACTCCCCTCTGCATTTCATAGAAGGAAACTAACAAAAGATTTGTTCTTCCTTCGAATGAGTAACGTAAACTATCTCAATTTAGGGATCAGTTTAGCTGATTTTGATATAGAAGATGGCGTTAGACATTATGCTTGTCTGCGAGCTTGTTTGAGTAACATAGAGTAAGTACATGTTTGACATTTTTGTTTGTCTTTTTTGTCTTCTTGAACAAAAAATCTTGCCTCTTTTATCTTTATGGATCTCACTTTCCCATAGTCTACCCAGGACACGGCGCCATACGAGGTAGGGCTCAATATTGGGCTGCTGCTTCTTGTTCGTGTGTTTGTTCTGAAATCTTTTGGTACCCAAACATGTCCCATGCTTGTAGATTCTAGTTTGATCTCGGACTTCCTAGAGAGCAAAATAGATCGTGGTCTCCAGTCATTTGGTCTTTCCGTTTAAAAATATATAATGCATGGTGGGAAGATAACAAAATGTTCTTTATGATAGGGTTTTGTGTGGTAAGGCCCTTTGTGTACCATTTCCAATGAAACCGTTCTTCAAAATTAGGGCATGCCTCTATTGTTGTAGAGTTGTTATGTATTCAGTGAAAATGTGGAACTTGGAGATCTTATTTAGAAGAATAATTTTTTTTTGGTTTTTTTACTATGTTCATTAATAAGAATAAATTCAATCCATTTAGTTACTTTTAGGGGAAAAGATTCAGTCTACTTAGAGATCCCTGAACCCTTTGAATGGAGTGCAGCGCAAGTCGATTCATAGTGATTTATCAGAAATTTTGGGTGTAGCCTGATACTGTGCCATGTTATATGCACTTAGCACGTCAATGTGGATCTATATGTGCAAACACTTGGTTACATATATGTTGGTGTCTTAATTCTTTTGAATGTTGCCTTGTGATTATATTTCGAGACATGACCTTTGTTTTGTGTGGTAGATGAAGGCCTTTAAGCATCATCCTTCACCAGCAAGTTAGCTGAGGTCTAGTTTGGTGCAAGCTCAATTGTGTTCTTCATTTAAGTTGTCTTTCATGTTGTAAATCCAAATCTTTCACATTTTGAGCTAGTCATTTAAGCCTATAATGTGTCTTCCTTGACTTTCAACCACCAGGCAGCCGCATACTTGGATGGGGAGGCTTATCCAATGTTGAAATTATTCAGGTGTCATCGGTTCCTCGGTCCGCATTTCCACATTTTGCAGTTTTTTGCTTTTTGCTTGATTTTCGTACCAGGAGTTTCCCCATTTTTTTGTCTCTGATGGAAATCTAACCCACTAGTGGGTTTCTTTTTGCCCTTTTTGGTTCTTTTTGAACTTAAAAAGCTGCCTTCTACCCTCTCATGTGAAAAACTCCCTCCATCTCTCTACCCAACCAACAAAGTCATTTCATCATTATTCATTTGGCCCCACTAGTGTGGGACTTCTCTCATTCTAGTTTGTTTCAAAACAGTTTGGCATCAGAGCATCTATAATATAAAATAGGCAGACTTTAAAAAATCTATCCGACAGTCTCAAATAGACTTATTCAACAAACACTAATATTCCTCTCAAAACTATTTACAATTCAAATCTCTCATTCTCTCTCTTAATTCCTCACTTAAAAATTGATTCTACCTCCTCTATGATTTTGCCCCCAAGTTCAGTCTTCTCTCTCTCTCTCTCACACACACACCAAATTCAGTCGTCTCTCTCTCTCTCTCACACACACACACAAGCGATTCTCTCTTCATGCATATCCGGTGACTCAACACAAAGATCTGATTCGGCGCTTCTCACACACTCTCTCTCTTCATTCCCCACTATGCCCAAACTTCCTCTCTCTCTTGGACCATCAGGCAGATCCGGTGACTTCAGGCTTCGATAGTGTAGCGGCAACCACCAGCGAGACCTCCTTTGTGGTCCACCAAGAGCCATCGACATGGACACCACCTTTACCAGTCATTACTAGGTACCTCTCTTGCTCTCTCTCTCTCTCTCTATCTGTCTATCTATCTTCTCCTTTCTCGCCCTCTCTGTATCTATCTCCCTTTGCCTCTCACTCCGTTATCTCTCTCCCCATGCCACCACTGTCATCCACCAACCCATCCAACCTACCCCAAGTTAGGGTTCCAATTATTCAGTTGAACTTGAAATATCCCAACCAATGGATATACTTTGATTTACAGGTTCTAATTATTTAAGAACCTGTAATCATGCAACTGATCAAGCAGTGACCATATTTTGGTATAAGAAGTGGCAAGGGATGAATTGGAATGGGAAAAAATAAGTGCTTTGAATTATTCAATTTATACTGATTCATATACATTGTACTGATTTATCCTGAAGTGCATACATGGAATGCATATATTAAGTGCATGCATTCAGCTGTTACAAGTATTGCATGGAAATAATCCCAAGTTGTGGTTCTTTTTCTGTTAAACGTTTTATAGGACAATGGATTGTGCAATATTTTTTTTATGGGAATGATTCTGCAATTTTATTGACTGCACTTTTGTGGCTGCATAACAATCTTAGAATTCAAGGTTTTTATTGCAATCGTGGTTTACTTATATCTTATTTGAAATGTAATGGAATAGTGTACTGCTCAATTGGTTATTGAGGTTGCTATTTTTTTCTAATACGATGGTTCTATGATGAATTACCCTTCTGAATTTGCAAGGTCCCAGTCCTCAATTCAAGAGGTTGCAAGGTCACAGTCCAAGTCCAAATTGATTTTCAAAATGCCCAAGCAAAACCACAAATTTTTTTTGATTTTATTGAATTTAAGGGGTGGGAGCAAAAAAAAGTCCAACCCAAAATAGTAGTTGCAAATTCACTAAAAATCTGTTTCTATCCCGTGATTAAGGAGGGTTGTGTTCAGTCTGTACGCATGATATAAGCAAAGAATACGGTGGCTGCAAGTCAAAGGGATATTATCAATTGGGAATATTTCTAACTTATCCTACAAAAGATCAAAATGGTATGAAGCTTATGGAGGAATTTTAGGGGATTAATGGAGTGTTCGAATATGTCTTAGGTAGTTGTTTTTTAATTGAAATTGATGTAGCGGACCATTGCAGTGTCTTTGTTCCAATTGGTTCTGTTGGTCATTGAATTGCTATGTATTTTCATGTTTTTTTGTTGTCTTCAGGCACCATTACAATCTTCATGTACTGAAATTTTCTCATCATGTACCCACTGGATGCATAAATCTGGGGGTGACATTTTAGGATCATGGCACGAATAAATTTTGTTGGTATAACATTTTAGGATCATTTATCACTGTAAATTAGTAAATCGATAAATTAATGAGTAAATTATATGCTTCTGACTAAAACAGATACAATTTCTCCTTTTAGCGTTTGCACATTGATTTCTTTGTTAAATTGAAATTTATGGTGTTGCAGTATCTTAGTGTTTTGGCTTTTAAATAATTTCATGTCATGGTAATCAAATATTTTGAATTGTAGGTGTAAACGCCACCTTTCTCTGGAAGAAATAAATGCAAGACACAAGCCATTACGTTTTATAGACATTGAATCACATGTTTACATCTTAGGTTTGTTGCAATAAGAAATATAAGTAGGATTATGGAATGTGAATGATTTTGATCCCATGTTTTACTTTTTATTTAGTAATTTTTCATGGATGTGAATGGATGGTTTGTATTGAAAATAGGAATTCATTTGAGTTAAATAAGCTGAAAGTAGTTAAAGAGGTTAAATGAGTCATGTTAGTTGTGTTGATTGTGTTATGGGGTCGTGTTAACCCAAACATAACCCATGCATTAAAAGTACGTGTTGTGTCAACACGAATACGATCTATTTATTAAACGTGTTAGGCGGGTTGCATTCTGGTTAAAATATTTGTGAGTGTCAGGTCATTTGCCACGATGGGAGGTTTTATATGAGTTTGCATAAGGCCAATCTTGAGTTTCTCTTCCCGATTTTGTTTTATTTTGTTTATAGTAGTTTATGCTCTTTATGATTTCTAGAAAATATGCCCCCCCTATTATATTTTTGATTATGTGTAAATTTTGGCCTTGCTTAGATGCTATTTATTTTTCTATAAAAATTAGGTTTAGGGTATAAGTTTTATATATTCAATCCAATCTTGAAGATATGAATTTTATTCAATTACTTTTTTAATTAACATTGTTTCGGAACATATTCTTCTCTCTTAATACGTTTAACAACGTACTAGAGACAAATCTTGAAGTAATTGTGCATAATTTTGATATTTCATTTGGTTAATACTTGAAATAATTGGGTTTTGTAATTGCACCCAATTAATAAACCTCATGCATTTCCCCCAATAAATTTTTCAAAATTATAATTTATATCAACTCATCATTCCCCCAAATTAATTTGCTTGAAAATTTCATGAATTTCATCTCTTTCATACATTTTGAGATTTGGGATTGACACTTTGTTTGGAATAATTATCATTGAGTGAATTATTAATTTGGTTAATGTTGCACTGATTCGGGGCTGCCAAAGATTATTATAGAGGCTGTGGAGGGTAAAAACCTTCTCACTGGTGGTAATTTTTATGTAATTGTAATGTGGGTTTT